AGTACTATTGATATTTGGGGGTAGTTTTAGGTGACAAAAGTTGTCTTCCACTTCTAAGTCCCTCAAAAAAACTACCCAATATTCAGAGAATTCCAATGAGTTGAACTCCTTGGCTTGCATGTCAGCACCTCAGAACTAGGACCTCCAGCACACTAGGAATGGTGGCAATATGCGGGGACATTTTAGAGTTCCCTGTGCTCACACATAGACAGAATTATACAAATGCTATTCCTAATGAAAGCTGTGGGGCTTGTTTTCACAAAGGTCAGACATCAGTGGAAATTGAGGACTGGATTAGTCAAAGTGTCTTCAATCAGCTGTGAAGTAAACTCCACTCCTTCTGGGAGTTGGCGTGGCTAAAGCCAAGTCATCTGCCGTTTCCTCTTAGGACAGCTAAAGCCACCCTCACTGTGGCTAGAAAAGAAAAGTAGATTTGCAAACCTTATGAAAGATTCCTGTTGGATTCTATATCACGTGATTGGACTTATACTTTTAGAAAAGCCATGAGACCTAAACCACTTTTAAAGATTAGAGTTCATGCTCAAAATATAATTTGAGACATAAAGTCTACCCATGACAAGTTTGCCAATATGTGGCCTTATAAGAGGAAAATGTGAAGTAAAAGATGGTGACATTATTTATGACTGTAGCTAGCTAGCAATTTGGCAAGCTTTATTTCATATCTTGATAAGTCATCCAAACACTGAATAGCATTTGTATTCAACTGAGATAGAACTACAATTAATAAGGCAATGTCATCCAATAGTTGTATATTATTATTTCTTAATAGCATGACATTACTTTCCCTGGTGGAGACATTTAATATCTTGGAATCAGAGTGAAGAGTAATATATTAGGAAATAAGTGCTATTGCTCTATCATAATCCCGTACAGGGCCACCTACATACAAAATTGTCATCTTTCTCTTTCCATCATTTATTTATTCATTTTCCTCTTTGGAGTTGTCCCCTTCTTTCCAAAGTAATGGCCTGAATTGGTGTCATAAATGGCTCCTCTGCACCCACGGGTGGAGAGCCATGTACCCATTAAATGCTCATTAGTTGATCTTATAATAAGAAAATTTTTTGGAAATTCTCCAACTGCTATGAAGAGATACAGTAGACTACTGGCTAAGAGCTGTCTTAGTTTGGGTTCTCCCAAAAGCAGACCCTGCGACAAAGGTTTAGGTGTAATAATTTATATAAAAGTTGATCCCAGGAAGCACTGAGTGAGAGTTAGGGAGGGGAGCTGGGGAAGGGAGGAAAGCCAATAAAGGATAAATTAATGGTCAGGTTACCTCTGTGGGCAGCTGAGTCTCGTTTCTGCTGGGCACCGTCTGACTTTGTGGAGCATAACTCAGAATCTGAGGGAGGGGCGAAGAGACTGGGCTGTTTCCCAATTCCTGTCCTTATGACGGAGCATCACCTCTTTGAGGTTACATCCCTGGGCACAGGTCAAGTGGATGCCAGTGGCCGGTGAAGGCCCACACAGAGATCTGCAGGAAGCCTGTAGGCACGTTGAGAAACCATCTGCAGGTGACCTCCCCGGTGGGCCAAGGGGATATGGGAGGAACACTGGCTATGCCTGTTACAAGAACTCTGCTCAGATTTGGTTTAGATCCTTACTCTGAAACTTGCTAGTTGTTTGGTGGTGGACAAGTTAGTTAATCCTTCTAAACCTCAATTTCTTCCTCCGGAACAATAATAATGGTACACACTTAGTGGCAGGTCCAGACCCAGAGGTGTTAGGAAGAAGTGCTTAAGGACTTGTCTAGAAGGGCCATTTCCATAGTAAACACGCTATTCTTTTTGTCTTACAAGAATGCATGTTTGTGTGGGATGGCTGATAGAAAATACAGGGTTGCCAAACTTCCCGAAAGCTGGCTCCATGAGGCTGCCATTGTACTTACCTTACAAAACTGCTGTAAAGATAAAATGGCTGTGAGGTAAATGTAATTGTGTCATTCCCCTGCTTAAAATTCTTCAATGGTTTCTCACTGCTCTCAGGAAAAAGACCATCTTCCACTCCACCACCCACTTAATAGGAAAATGCATTTTATTTTATGTGTTTTTCTTTTTCATTGAATTTATTGGGGTGACAGCTATACTAATAAAAGGGTAGTATGCTAATTAGGCTGGACGTATTCTGGATGACCATTCGGACATCCTTCTGGACAAAGCCGTGGCTCAGGCAAGCCATGGATGGCGGCTGCTGCTGCCCAGGGCCGGCCCGAGGCTCAGGAAAGCTGGGGATGGTGGCTGCCCAGTCGCCCAAGGCTCAGTTAGGGGGTGATCAGGCTGGCAGGGGAGCAGTTAGGGGGCAATCAGGCCAGCAGGGGAGCTGTTAGGGGCATCAGGCTGGCAGGCAGAGGCAGTTAGGGGTAATCAGGCAGGCAGGTAGGCAAGTGGTTAGGACCCAGCGGTCCCGGATTGGATGTCTGACCGGTTTGTGTATGTGCTCCATGTGAGTGACGTAGGTGCTTATGTAGGTGGGTTCTGACTTATGGCTAAAATCACGTTACATCATGCCATAGGAACGGATCTCTGACGTAACCCGAGGACCTACTCTCTGTGTGTGTATATATACATATATATATTAGAGGCCCAATGCATGAAATTTGTGCAAGAGTAGGCCTTCCTTCTCCAGGTTGCCGGCACCCGGGACCTGGGCTTCCCTCACAGCCCTGGCTTCATCCGGAAGGTCATCTGGAAGGACATCTGGTTCATTAGCATATTACCCTTTTATTATTATAGATGATTAGAACTTTGTTCATGTTGTCCCACATGCAACTTTATCATAGGGCTCCTTTGTCTGAAAAGGCTAAACATATATGTGCTATGCAGATTGTTTTGAGCTAAAGGCAACTGATGCCATGCAGGCTCAAGAGAAACTTCTGCCTGCCCTTAACTACCTAGAAGAGTTTGAATTAGGAGACTTGCCCAAAAGATGATCAGAGATAACACTTTTTGACCTAACTATATGGCAGGGCAAACTACTAATGACTGAATATCTGCTTTTCTTTATTGTCCTGCAGTAACCTTCCTCGCCCCTCTGAAGCCTCAAGGTGACCCTTAGCTCAGAATGTCATATATATGTAATTTCCCTTCTCTCTATGAATCTCTCATGTATATGGGGTCTTTGACTCTCTCACGTATGTGGGGTTCCCATACATATGTATGTAATTAAATTTGGTCATTTTCTCTTATTAATCTGTCTCATGTAAATTCAATGGTTAGAACAGCGGAAAGAACCTTGAGAGTAGAAGAAAGTTTCTTCTTCACCCACAGCAACTTAAAAGAGACTTAATTTCGTGAGAAACAACATCAAAATATCCCAAAACAGTATTCTTGATAGACCTCCATGGTGTAATTAATTATATTAGTTTTCTGGCAGCAGTAGTAAATGAGCACTTACTATAATTTTTTGTGCTGTGGTCATTCTTACTTCCACCAAACGTCACAGCTATACATAACCAAGGGGTATGCAGGCAATTTAAGTTGGGGTCTCATCTGGTAATCTGCAGATTTTTATTAAGCTTTTCCAAGGATGCAGAAGAGGGTAGGAGGCAGCAGTACTGTTGAGTTGTCAAGATTTATCTTTGTAAATCTGTAAACCAACGTTTTCGTATTGCTCTATGATCGGCCAACAATTACCATGAGTCAGGTGTCTAGAATGTTTGCATGATTAGCACAGGGCTTTACTTCATATTCTCACACTCCTGGCAATAAGACATTCTATTTGAGAATCACCCACCCCCAGTCCTTTTTGTAGGTGACTTGACCGCCCCACCTCTCCCCCCATGGCTGGATTGGTAGTGGTGGACACTTGACCTAAAATGGCCTTAATCATATTCCTTCTCTCAGTAATTTGGAATTGGGAGATCTAGTATCTCTTAGAAGGGAGAGATACAAACTTGAGTATTCTGAGATGACTATTTTAATCCATTGCATGGCTAGATATTCAGAGGAAGTAGAACTAGAAAAAGAGAAAAGAATGAAGCAGAAATGCTTGAAAACAAAAGAGAGAGGGGAGAAGAGAGATTCTGCAGGGTTCCCATGGTTCCTCTGACCCCACTGTCTCCCTGCCGTTGGATTAAGTGAGTCAGTACTGTATTTTTATAACAAATTCCCTTACACACTTGAAACCAGATTTCCTGCAACTACAAGCATCCAGCCAGTGGTAACCTTTGTTAGGAGACAAGAGATCAGTGTTTATCCACCCTTTTATGGAAGTGTTTATATTTTAAGTGGACTTTAAAATCAGAATCCTTAAAACATTGCTATTATTGGCAGTGATAGAATTAGAAAAATCCAGTGACTTTTGTAAGACCTTCAGTCAAGTTGAATCCCACAGATGCTTAGGAACATATAACTTCTCTCTAGAATAGAACAAATAGCAAGTTTTTGCTACTGCTTGTAGATTCTTCTCTTATTTCCTGTTCCCTCAGATCTTTATGGAGCTGGCTTCTTCTCTCCTCATGGGCCTTTTCAGAGAGGACTTCCTTGGCATCTCAAACTAGAGGGGCACCCACTCTCCTTTAGTTTTGCAGCAACTTGTTTTTCTTCCACACACTATCATCTCTAGAGGGCATACGCATTTGTTGCGAGACACAGTGTTTGCTTTCTCAACTAGAAAGTCATCTCCATTAGCTGGGCACAGTGTCTGTTCCGTTCACCGCTGAATGCCAGATTCTGCACCAGGGCGTGCCTGGCAGAGGTGGAGTAAAAAAAAAAAAACAACAACAAAAAAAACCAACAACAACAATAACAAAAAACGGAATAAAAAGTGCACTTTTGTATTTCAATAACTTGTTTTTTCTTACGTAACAAGATTTTGCAATTAGGAGTAGTTTGTCGGGTAGCAGGGCAACCCTAGGGAAAACCAATCCCGCCCAGCTGTTCGCGTGGTCCCAGTCCGCGCCTGCGCAGACTCCTCCGCCCGCAGCTCGGATCTGCTCTTCCCGGGGGGCGGGGCGGGCCAGCTGAGGCCGGGCGCGCGTGGATGACGTCACCAGCGCGTGCCCCGTAGCCCGTAGTAACCCCGAGTCTGCGGAAGTGGACACCCTTGGGCAGGCAGCTGAGACAGGTAACCTGCGCGCTCCCGGTTGGGTCCACGGTTTCTGCGTCTCCCGCGCGGGGATGGCGGCGGGGGCCGTCGCATCCCGTGGTGAAGGCGACCGGGAGCCCGCCCTGCTCTGTCTTTCTTGGGTGTCGGGGTCCCCATTCTCTCTCATTCGCCCCAGGCGCCTAGAGGCTGAGCGGGTCCTGGGGACCGGGATGAGCGGCCAGTCCTGTCCAGCTCCGCTCTCAGGAGGTGATGGGCTCCGGCTCCCCCGCCGGCACACACCCTCCCTCAGCCTGCAGCTGCCGCCTCCGTCCTCGCGCCTCCAGGCCCGTCTCACCCAGCCCTCCGCCCCCAGCCCCGCAGGTGCACCTCCAGCCTTGCCTTGTTGAAGGAGGCGGAACAGTGTCCGATCCTGTTCATCTCCGCCTGCAGCCACCGCCACACCGTGCCCGCCCCAGGGTGCTCACTGGGAGCGCCACGTTTTGAGTGTTGTTGTGCCGAGAGCATCCGTTCGCTGTCAGGGTGGCCCTGTGCTCAGTAAAGCAGGTGTTTGTTGGGTCAGGGGCGGCCCAGCCATGTGAGAACCTGCCCTGATAGCAAATGACCCACCTGGGAGCCAATCACCTGTTGAGATGGATGACACAGTGTTAGCATTTCATTAACAGATGCTCCTGGTTCCTGGGTTTCTTTTCGGTTTCCAAGCAAAGATAACCACTGTTGCAAAGGTAACCCATCAAAATAAATAAACAAGAGAACCCCAGGAGGAATGTGTGGACCGCAAAACAAACAAAACCCAACAGTACATATTCATATTGTTGATAAAGGAATATGGTCTATTACAAAACCAACCAGAAAAGATATGGGAGGAGAAGGATTCCGAAATCTTTTATCTCATTGATGGCTTGTATTTTCTTGTACTTTTAGTATATTCCATTTTTTTAATAGGGCATATTGTACTTCATATAATTCTGCGAAGCCTACCAAGTGACTTGCTAGTTGATACGTTTTGGTTGTTATTCTTGGGGGACAAAAAAGAATAAGTTTAGAGAGTAATAGTAGGCACTCATTGTTGACTGTCTGCTGCTATATTCCACTGTGTTCAACACTTTGCATGTGTTTTCTCCTTTGCTCACATTGGGAGCTAGGAATTATTATCCTCAATTTACAGAGAAGGAAACAGACTCAGTTATATGAAAAACTTGCCAAACATTCATAGTAACTAAATGGTGGACCCAAGCTTTAAGTTCGGGTTTCCTTTCTAATACCTTTAGTATTAAGTTCTCATATCTGGAATTCAAACCTGGAAAACTTAATTTATGATCTTTCTACACATATACATGCACGCACACATGCACACAGACCATCCTTAAGAATGAGCTAAATGGCAAATAAGATTGCTCAGTCTAACCCTTTTGTTTGGCGCCTTCAGGGAATGAGTAACTATAGAGAGTTGAAAGTTTTACCCCTTTAGAAATGAAAATTATACTTTTACTGTTTTGGATAGAGAAATTTCTATTGTTCTAAACCAGTGGTCGGCAAACTGCGGCTCTCGAGCCACATGCGGCTCTTTGGCCCCTTGAGTGTGGCCACGAAGTTTCAATCGCACTGTACGTGCGTGTCCGCACGTGGTATTTTGTGGAAGAGCCACACTCAAGGGGCCGCAGTTTGCCGACCACTGTACTAAACAATTCCTTCTTAAACACTAAATATACTAAACATTTTAATTTTCCCTATCTCAGAGCAGTCATTATGAATGCCACTTACTGTGTATTATGATAATTTCCTCAAACCTTTTATTATATTTGACTCACAAATTGTTTTGTATTTTGAGTTTGCCTGTATTTTATGTTGTCCATCCTAATGTCAACAAGAGATAGTAACCATTGTAATTAAAAGCAGGAACTGGGGAACCACACTTCCAGGATTCAAGTCCTAGCTCAGCCAAGTATATAGCAAGATAGTGGGCCAGGTCACAGTAGTTGACCCCTCTACACCTCAGTTTCTTTACTTATGGAATAGGAATAGTAATACTTTTCTCACAAATTGTTGTGAGGATAAAATGAGTTAGTATATGTAAAGAGCTTAGAATAAACCAGGCTTATTGTAAGAGCCATATAAGTGTTTGCTAATACAGGGTGGGGTATTAGCAAATACAGTTGTTAGTATGCAAAACAGTTTATTCTTATATTATTATTTATGGATTATTGTATTTTTTCCATACAAAAAACTGTAAACATACTTTTGCCCCACTCTGTTATTATTAGTCTAGTTTTGACCTTAAGTTCTTTGAATATTGCATTCTACCTCTTTGGAAATTGTTATTCCTTGAGTGATAGTTGATATATTGTAATTACTAGTTTACTAGAGAATTAAATAATCCTAACTGGAATCCTTTATCCTAAGCCGTTTTAGGAAAATATTAATTTATTAAGTTCACGTTTATTGTTTTTGTACTGCAGTAAGACTTTTTCTTGGGTGTTTGGAGTAAATATCCAAATATATTACTTTATTATATGTATCAAAATAATGGACTTTTAATTTCTCTCTTGAATTTGGGTTATATTTCCATGGTTTAAATTATGGTTTACCAATACATGAAACCCTCTCTACTTTTGAATCGAATGTCACTTGTTTACATATCCATTTGTGGTGCCCTGCACAGGTGTACTTTTGTTCTCATGTTATCATGATCCTATGTGGATAAGTACCTCTTTATAAACCCTCCATTATGCATAGGCCATTCATAAAGGTATCTCTTCAGTATAGTTCTCTTTCTCTTTCCCTTCAAGGAGCCAAAAAAAAAGGATGTTATCAACAAAGTGAAATAATGTTCCTTATGAAATTTGCGAAGTATGTACCCATTTCAGGAGTATATTTTAAACTAAGGCCAGCTAAGAGTTAATACTGACTCATTTGTGTCCATAGTTAGGAACTTGAGAGTCAGTGATCTGTCCTTTATTTTAAGACCATTAAGGCTGATACTCATGCTAAAACTTCCTGTTGAAATATAGGCTATATGTTTTTTTTTAAAGTATTTTTTATTGATTTCAGAGAGGAAGGGAGAGGGAGAGAGAGATAGAAACATCAATGATGAGAGAAAATCATTGATTGGCTGCCTCCCACACGCCCCCTACTGGGGATCAAGCCTGCAACCTGGGCATGTGCCCTGACCAGAATTGAATCGTGACCTCCTGGTTCATAGGTCGATGCTCAACCACTGAGCCATGCTGGCCAGTCATATTTCAACCATTTTTAAGTGTGCAGTTCACTGGCATTAAGCACATTCATAATGTTGCTTAAGTATCACTATCTTCCATTTCCAAATTTTTAAATTATCCCAAGCAGACACTCTGTACCTATCTATAATAATAAAAGCGTAATATGCTAATTAGACCGGATGACCTTTCGGATGAAGCTGGGGCTGTGAGGGAAGCCTGGGTCCTGGGTGCCTGTTGGCGGCCAGAGGGAAGCCCGGGTCCTGGGTGCCTGTTGGTGGCCAGAGGGAAGCTGGTGCCAGCAGCCAGGGGAAGAAAGGCCTACTCTTGCATGAATTTCATGCATCGGGCCTCTAGTTAAATAATAAATCCCCATTCCCCCCACCTCCTCCACGCTCTAGCCCCTGTTAACCTGTGTTCTACTTTCTGTCCCCAAATTTCCCTATTTTAGGTAGCTCATATAGGTGGAATCATGCACTATCCTTTTGTGTCTGGTTTATTTCACTTAGCATGTTTTCAAGGTTCATCCATGTTGTAGCATGTATCAGAATTTTATTTCTTTTTATGGCTCAATAATATTCCATTGTATATGTATACCATAAGATATTTTTTTGATGCATATTGAATTATACAGGGTGTCCCAAAAATGTATACACACTTTGAATAATTTAAAGGCAGTATTTATTAAAATAAATTTCATTTTCAAAATGTAATAGAATCTACAGACATGGGGTATATACGTTTTGGGGGGACACTCTGTATGTGTGGGTTTATTGCTGTGCTCTCTATTCTGTTCCATGCATCTATATGTCTGTTTTTGTGTGAATTATGACTCTTTATACTTCTCATTTCATGTGGTATGAATTTAACACTTGGTGATTTGATTTGACTGTGAGCCACTGGAGGATAGGAATGGAAATATCAACTGGAATAACATTGTTATTGAAGTATGAACAAAATGCCTTTCTCTCCCTCACTCTCTCTCCCTTCTCCTCTCTATAAAACCAGTAAAAACATATCCTCCTGTGAGGATTTTGTTAAAGATTGAGATTTGAACCCATGCTGTGTGGCTCCAGAGTTGGTTTACCCTAAATTTTGAGTTGACCCTTAGACCAGTATCAGTTTTGCAATGTAAATTGTTTTGCCTCCCACATTTTTCCTCTATCCTCTCCTTTCATATGATCTTTGAAACGGAACATTACTTCTTAGTAGGCAATGGAAGAGCAACTGAACCCAAGCCGTCAAAAGGGTTACAGGTGCCTCTCGTTTGATTGGGGTTGATATTGCATATTAGATCCAGGCTGCATTTTCACAGCTTAGTTCATACCACCTTTCTCTGAGAGCCTCGTCTTTGAAAAACAGATCCTGAAACTTTTTATGATCTCATATTGCATATATGTTGTGTGGGTGTTTGACTTTTAGAATATTGTATGCTTCCCACACTACTGTTCTGTGGATAGAAAGAGCTTTTTGTTCATGATGTTGTTATTGACTGTCACAATAGTTTATGGCACACTCACTTTGTCGTTACATTACTCTGTGTTGTTTGATTTCCAAAGAAATTATTTTGAAATCAATTTCATTATGATTTTCCCTGGCTTTTTTTTTTTGCTTACATTCTATTTATTTTTTGACACTTGCAACTGAAGGTTTAATTTTTGAAACTGATGGGAATAAGGATATGCTTGATACATTTTGGCAGCAAAGGAGACATATCTGCCTCTTTTGGCATCAATAGTATCTTGTGTATGTAGCAAGTTTGGTGCGTATTTGAAGGCATGAACTGTTTGAACAATGTCTGGTAGA